CACTAATCGTCCTTATTTGGTGCCACAATACTTAGGAGTCTAACTGGGCAAGATGGCAAAAATGCTCCCAAACGAAAGGAAATAAAAAGGATTTGAACAATAATTCTCATTAAAAGGAAAACTTTTTCAACCAACTTCCTCTCCCTAACTTATTCATAAATAAATAATTTGATTTCAATCTTATTTTTTACTAATTTAAATATATTTAATAGCCTTTAATTTTTAAATAAGTATTCGTAGTTTATAAACATATTTCATATATAATTCATTTCATACCCAATTTGAATTTAAAAATATATTTAAAAAGGAAAAAAAATGAGAAGTAAATTCGGGCCTTTAAGCTTACGCTCAGTTGCGTTGATCATTAAGCGACAAAGACGACCTGTGTCAATTATGTTTTTGTGTCTGTATATCGCGCTGTGTGGCATGAAAAATATTTAAACAGGTTGTTTGTGAAGAAAAATTTCGACAATTTAAAAAAAAAGTTTTTTGTAAGACTTTGGATTTATGAATATATTGTTATTAGTAAAAAAATTTTTGTCTTCTATGTTGTTAATTCTTTTGCATATTTTTCCAAGAGGAAAACACAGGATTATTAACGTAAATAATATTTTATCAAGACGAAGAGGTATCTGGTTAAATTATGTTTGAAGGGAAGTTTCGAGTAGAAACAAAATTGAAAAACATAGTGTCAAAATTCAAAACACTGGATTCTATCGCAACGTGTGTCATATGTAAAACATGTCCATAAGATACATATATAAGATTTTGTGATCGAAAAATGTGATCCAAAAATTAGCTGACGACAAAATGGTGCTCTGCCCATCCTCCCTCCCGTCCGTCCGTCTGCGGTCAGTGGCAGCGCCTAAACAGTTCAGACGATTTTCTCGAAAATTGATATTACCTGATCCATCTGGCCGAACTGGAGATCCTGCAAATTTGAAATAGTTATTTGTGTACCAAGGTCGTTCTAAGGGTTCTATTTGTCCCCCAAGGCGTTGATAAGAGTGGCGACAAAAAGCACGGGCGCCGAGGGCTTTTTGCCGCCCAAGATGACGGCGGCGATGGTGTAACGGTTAGCGTACTGGACTGTTGTACCCAAGTTGGCGGGTTCAAACCCGATCGAAGCCGTGGATTTTTAAGGGCGAAAAAATCCTTCATACGCCTTCCTTCATACGCCTTCCTTCGGAGAGGAAGTAAAGCCGGCTGTCCCATGTTCGTAGATTTACTTGCATGTAAAAGATCCTCAAGCCTAAATGACGCCTCTGAGCTAAATTCAAGTCGCCTGTTTCTCGCCCAAGATACCTCCTTTCTCCGGTAGTTGGTGAAAGGAGCGTAGCGAAATTTGCGTGGTCAGACGGAAGAGCAGGCCTAATGGCCTGAGTCTCGCCACGTAAAATAAGGCATAATTCAATTCAATTCAAAGATCATTAGAACCAGTTAACATCCGTCAAACTATTGTGTTTTTTTTACCTAAATTTAATCATTCAGATTCACTTATTTACTAGTTAAATTGACTCATTGTTTGTGTTGTCATATTTCCCTCCCATAACGCCCTCTCATAATTATCTTCATAAAAGAACATACAGCATCATTTAAAAGTTTGGATATTTCCATCGTAATACCAATCCTCTCGATCCAAGTAAATTATGCAGTCGATATCGAGCTCCGGATCGAAGACAATGACAAGTAGTAACGAATAATTAAAAATAAAGAAGATATTGATTTCGTGGATACTTTACATGAAGCCTCAATATCTTCAAAATTGTCTAAAAAATTGCTCCAAATGTGATTAATTTTTTCCTAGGAGTGAGCAAACATGCTTAGAAATGGCGTAGGTATTATTTTTTGATGAATCCTCTGAATTCTCGAAAATTACAAAAGTTACAAAAATAACGCAAAAAGCATGTGCTGTTGTAACACCACCGGTTTATTCGTGTTCCCAAAATGTTCATCATAGTTCCAAAACTGTTGTCATGGAAATATTTTATTGTGCAGAATCTAATTAACATTCTCTTTGTTGCAATGACAATTATAAATTTAATATATTCATTACTGTGGTATGATGTAAGTTATAACATTTATTATAAAATCGTTTTATAAACATTAAAAAATGTATGCCAAATTAAATTCAAGAACACTCTTACTATACAAATGAAGATGATGCATTTGCCGCCCTCAAATTTTTCTTCCCAGTGCCACACCTCCTGATATTTTGCGTGCGCTTTTTTGGCTGCAGACAACTATAGCGAAGGACGCCATGCCAGGTAATTATTTTGTTGTCACTGCTTATAACACAAAAGAGTCTCGCCTTCGCTTTAACGTCTTTTATTGCTCGGAAAGCGTGTTGTTTGCTTTGCACCAACTTCCTTGGAGATCATCATATTAAAACACTTCTCTTAACTCATATTTTATTATGAAATACTATCTTATTTTGTACATAGAATTATGAGTTTCCGTGGTCTGTAGGGTGCGATATTACCTCGGGTACGAAAACGTTAATACATAAATTGTTTTATAAGGATCGAGTACAAATATTTGGTAAAGAATTGTGTACACTGTCAACATATAAATTACATAAAATAAAACAAATGGAATAATCACGTTTACCGTGAACATTGAGGGACAACTAAAACTGAGTGTATCAATGAGGAACGACACGCTCAATATTTGGCGTATCCAATAATAAGTGAGTTGGGAGAAGCCTCACATTCCCAAAATCACTAACGACATCGACAGTTTTGCAATTAATTATGTTTTTTTCTTATGACTACCTCGGTTAATTAGGACATTTGTATTGTTTTATGTAATTTGTATGTTGACAGTGTATACAATTATTTCACAAATATTTGAACTCAATCCTTATCAAATAAACTATGGATTATCAATTTTTGTACCCGAAGTAATTTCTAACACCAATGACTACGGATTCCTACACGTCTATATACGATATAAGATTTGTAAAGGTGTAAAATTTTCCTGTATTTGCGCAAAACATGTAAATTCATATTGTTGATAAATGTTGAACAAAAATAATATTACTTTCAAGCACTCAAGGCCTTTCACGGGCCTTGTGTTCAAAAATACGTTTCAAACCTATAACTCTAAAGTGGTTAATTTTACAACAAAACCCTGTTCGGGACTTTTTTGTAGGAAATTTTATCTACTTTAATTTATATAGCACATAATTTCGATGGACGTGATACTTAATGTAGATATATTAAAAAAAACAAAAAAACCACCACCAACAACAACACCAACAACAACAACAAACCGTCGAAAAACACCTTCAAACGGCCGCCCTGCCCCGGCTCCCCCCTTCCCCCCTCTCTTCAGTATTTTTAGTATGTTACGCAATACGTACCAACACACAATTATGTCAAGTTTCAAAACTCCGGGATTTTTTTCACTCGATTTGTCTAATTTGGCTGGACTAGTAGGCGACATTAGAAGTCAGCAAGGGCATGGAGGCGAGGACACTTCAGAACGTGCGCAGAGCAGCCGGCGCACACTTTCATCTCACAATGTGGGCTAACGGAAGCCTATGTGAAAGTGCAAGCGAGCCGATATGTTTCTGTTTTATCCCAGTCGACGCCTTTAATCTACTTTCTTGTCCTGTACTATTTTATTTTAAATAGTTTATTCAATTGACATTTTTGTCTTTCGTCCTTTTAGGAAAAGTCCACGAGCCGACAAACGCTAGTCGCAGCGTTAGAACAATTCTCCGTTATATTCATTACAGTAATTATTATAATGGGGAATTGTTTAGTTGCTGCGACTAATGAGTTAAGCCTTATGAAATATGTTTCACCTGCAATAACTGATACAAATTCTGCTTCAAGAATTTTTATTTACTATTTCCTTCTTGACACACAGTGAGCAAGTTTTGAAGCATTTAGTTTTATAATGACTTAGACGGTACTTTATCTCAATGAACTCGTAAATTATCTCGTGAATTTATCAGTGGCTTTATTAATTTTTTTTTATTATTCTGTTTATTTACAATCTGTTTTCTTAACAAACATTCAGTAAATGTGTTAACTAATTATATGTCAGTACATCGTATAGCTAGAGTAACTTTATCGTCATGTGTTGGTTGTGTTGAAGCGGTTATATGGTATTACAGCAATATGGTGATCTTTTCCAGACTCCGGGTGTACCTTTCCTTATTATCCAAGTAGATTTCGATGCTGATTGATTCTGGCTGTTTTGTTTAATCACGCTCTTAGGTAGGCTTCTACTGATGACGCTGGAATTTTCACTATAGTTGATGTGATCTGAGGCTCTCCGCCACGCTTACGTTGTTATCGTGTACGTAGCCCCCGGTCACATTGGCTAGTCTTCTAATGCATTTTGATGTCTGATCTCGTGAGTATTCTTGCATATTGTGGTGTTGACCTTCTGCTAGCGATCCACCAGTAGTTCATATTCCGTAGCGCCGAGATAGGCCCTGATTGAGTGTGCATCTTGTAGACTCGGCAGTACCTTTGGTTGTCTAATAGAATGTTTGAGTTGCCGGGTTTGATGAGCGCATTGATAATCTGGCAGAACTTGATTTGCTGCTTCATGTTCTTCTTTGCAGTTATTCATGCGTTCCTTCCCATCTTGTAAAGCCGTCTGTCCTCATAAGAAAGTCCTATTGATATTTAAATGCAGTAATAGTTTGTGCTAGGTATTATCTATATGTTTGTGCTGCTATCTTTAGGACACCTCCTTTTTGTGATGAGTAAATCGATGTATATTTTTCAGATTTGGAGCATCTTACTCTCCGCATATACGCCATCCTTTGGTATCCCATCTGTTAATTCGGCTTTCACATGTATGCCTCTTGGTGACCATTTCTGTCGATGCTCCGTTGGATGGGTGCTTCAGGCACTCCCTCCCGCGGTCTCTCTCTCACGCTCTACGTCTCCCTCCTTCGTCCCTCACCGGTCCCGGCTGCTCTGTCTTCTGCTTCCTTTCTTCCCCCCTCACCTCATTCATTTCTCACCTCTTTGCAGGTCATCCCGCCTCCAGTTCCCCGTCCGCCCTCCTCGCTTTTCCACTTTCCGCCTTGTGGCGTCGGTTAGTTTCTCTGCCCGTGGGTGGCTTGGGGCCCTGTCCGGGGCCTTTGTCCGGTCGCGGTCTGCGCGCCGCTTGGGTGCCCCGGCCGCTCTGCGGGCTTCGGGTTTTGCCGCGGAATGCCCGGCGGCCGTCCCCGGACCGGCCGCGCCCCGGCGGGTTCTGCCGTGCCCCGCCAGCGGACATTGGGCCGGGCGGAGCAAGGGCGGGCCGCCGGGTCCGCCCGTGATCGCCCTTCCTTTCGTGCTCGCCCACGCGCTGGTTGCACATGTGTACACCGGCCGCCTCGTGTGACAAGGCAGCCGTGGGTGCGCCGCCGCGACCGCCCACGTTCGCTCTAAGCTGTGCAGCCCTCAGGGTCAAGCACACAGTTCCCTGCCGCACGGGGGGCAAAGAGGCACGGCGGTCACAAGGTGGCGCATGGCGGCCGGCGTTTCGGCGGGTGGGGTGGGCGGGCCTCCAGG